TGTATTTCCTGAATTTGAATGTTGGCCTGTCTTTGTAGGTTAGGGAAGTTCTCCTGGGAAGTATCCTGAAGAGTGTTTTCCAATTTGGTTCCATTCTGCCTGTCACTTTCAGGTACACCATACACCAATTAAACGTAGGTTTGATCTTTTCACATAGTCCTAAATTTCTTGGAGGCTTTGTTTTTTCCTTTTCATTCTTTTTTCTCTAACCTTGTCTTCATGCTTTATGTCATTAAGTTGATCTTTAGTCTCTGATATCCTTTCTTCTGCTTGATCGATTCGGCTGCTGGTACTTCTGTATGCTTCACGAAGTTCTCACGATGTGTTTTTCAGCTCCATCGGGTCATCTATGTCATTCTAGTTAGGCGTTCCTCTAACCTTCTTTCAAGGTTCTTAGCTTCCTTGCATTGTGTTAAAAAATGCTTGTGTCAATTTGTCAAGCTAATTCTCCGTCCAGTTTTGTTCCCTTGCTGGCGAGGAGTTGTGATCCTTTCAAGGTTTTTGGAATTATCAGCCTTTTTATGCTGGTTTTTCCTTATCTTCATGGATTTATCTACCTTTGGTCTTTGATGTTAGTGACCTTTGGATGGGGTTTTTGTGTGGACGTCCTTTTTGTTGATGTTGATGCTATCCCTTTCTGTTTGTTAGTTTTCCTTCTAACAGTCAGGCCCCTCTGCTGGAGTTTGCTGGAGGTCCCTTCCAGACCCTGTTTGCCTGGGTATCACCAGTGTAGGTTTCAGAGCAGCAAATATTGCTGCCTGATCCTTCGTCTGGAAGCTTCGTCCCAGAGGGGCACCCGCCAGATGCCAGCCGGAGCTCTCCTGTATGAGGTGTCTGTCGACCCCTGCTGGGAGGTGTCTCCCTGTCAGGAGGCACGGGGGTCAGGGACCCACTTGAGGAGGCAGTCTGTCCCTTAGCAGAGCTCGAGTGCTGTTCTGGGAGATCTGCTGCTCTCTTCAGAGCCAGCAGGCAGGAACGTTTAAGTTGTCTGAAGCCATGCCCACAGCCACCCCTTCCCCCAGGTGCTCTGTCTCAGGGAGATGAGAGTTTGATCTATAAGCCCCTGACTGGGGCTGCTGCCTTTCTTTCAGAGATGCCCTGCCCAGAGAGGAGGAATCTAGAGGGGCAGTCGGCTACAGTGGCTTTGCGGAGCTGTGGTGGGCTCTGCCCAGTCCGCACATCCCTGCGGCTTTGTTTACACTGTGAGGGGAGAACCACCTACTCAAGCCTCAGTAATGGGGGATGCCCCTCCCCCACCAAGCTCAAGCATCCCAGGATGACTTCAGACTGCCGTGCTGGTAGCAAGAATTTCAAGCCAGTGGATCTTAGCTTGCTGGGCTCCTTGGGAGTGGGATCCCCTGAGCTAGACCACTTGGCCCCCTGGCTTCAGCCCCCTTTCCAGGGGAGTGAACGGTTCTTTCTTGCTGGTGTTCCAGGAGCCACTGGTGTATGAAAAAACTCCTGCAGCTAGCTTGGTGTCTGCCCAAAGGGCCGCCTAGTTTTGTGCTTAAAACCCAGGGCCCTGGTGGTGTAGGCACCCAAGGGAATCTTCTGGTCTGCAGGTTGCAAAGACTGTGGGAAAAGCGTAGTATCTGGGCTGGAACGCACCATTCCTCGTGGGACAGTCCCTCACGGCTTCCCTTGGCTAGGGGAGGGAGTTCCCCAACCCCTTGTGCTTCTTGGGTGAGGCGACACCCCACCTGGCTTCTGCTTGCCCTCCGTGGGATGCACCCACTGTCTAACCAATCCCAGTGAGACGACCCGGGTACCCCAGTTGGAAATGCAGAAATCACCTGCCTTCTGCATTGATCCCATTGGGAGCTGCAGACCGGAGCTGTTCCTATTTGGCCATCTTGCCAGCTTGTGGAAGATTTAAAAACTATTTTTTAATTGTGGAAAGTAACATATTGAAAAGCATATAAACATGATTTATACTTTGGTGAGTTATTAAAATGTGAATACATAGTCATTGCCACGCAGCTCAGGAAATAGAATATTGCCAGCATCTTGGTGCCATTCACGCACACCTTCGCAATAGCACATCTTCCTTTCCTCTAAAGCAGGGGTCCCCAAGCCCCAGGCCACAGATGGGTACCATGCTGTACAGCAGGAGGTAAGTAGGAGGCCAGTGAGCGTGCCTGGCTGAGCTCCGCTCCCCGTCAGATCAGTGGCAGCGTTCGAGTCTCACAGGGGCGTGAATCCTCGTGTGCACTGCATGTGCGGGGTCTACATTGCACGCTCCGTGTGAGAGCGTGACTGATGCCTGAGGGTCTGAGGTGGAACAGTTTCTCATCCCAAAAACACATCCCGCCCTCCCTACTCCCGCCCCGGTCCGTGAACAAATTGTCTTCCACAGTGGGAGATGGGTGCGCCAGAATCTCGCAAGTCACCGCTAAAGAATTTACCATGTAACCAAATACTACCTGTTCCCCAAAAACCTATGGGAATAAAAAATTTTTTAAAAGAGAACTATATGAAGCAGTAATTACTGAGAATATTCCAAGTTAATGTCAGACGGCATACCACAAATACAGGAAGCTTTCTCATTTTGAACGAAGCCAGAAGAAAAATGCACCTTACCTGTAGAGGGGCAGAACATTCAACTTCTCCTCAGAAACCATGTAAGGAAGAAGAGAGGGGAGTGAAATATTTAAAAATACTGGTTTAAAATGCTGAGAGAAACACCTTACCTTATCAAGAACATGTACTCAGATACCTCTAGGGATCTAGACTAAGAGAGCCTTTGGATGACTGAGTTCCACCTGTCAAGACTCAGCTTCCCAGCAGGGTTGGATTTGCCCAACAGGTGTGATCATCCCACATGTGGCTGATGGCACAAGGTGCTTTGATTAACCAGATGCTGGCGGCAGCCGCTACCGCCACTCGCTGGTCATCACAACCATAGCACCATGTTTTCACCCTGCAGCCCCAGAGGCTGTGGAGCAGCATATTGAGGATCACTGCACTCCGTGATTCCTAAAGCTGTTTCCATTTAAAACAATCAGATACATTTCTATTGCTGAGCAAAGGTTGTTTGCATTTTTTTGTTGAGACAGTCTGGCTCTCTCACACAGGCTGGAGTGCGGAGTGCAGTGGTGTTATCCCGGCTCACAGAGGCCTTGAACTCCTGGGTCCAAGCGACCCTCCTGCTTCAGCCTCTAGAGTAGCTAGGACTGTAGGCACCTGCCATCATGCATGGCTAATTTTAAAAATTTCTTTTTTGTAGGAGTGGGGTCTTGGTTTGTTGCCCAGGCTGGTCTCAAACTCCTGGCCTCAAGTGATGCTCCTGTCACTGCCTGCCAAAGTGCTGGGATTACAGGCATGAGCCACTTTCCAGGCCTGCAATTTTATTTGAATAAAATGTTTGTCTCTTTTATCAAAAAGTTCTTCATTTTACTGGGTTCCCAAATATCTAAACTGATCTCCATGTAGTAACACATGAAATATTTAAGAAATTCATCAGTTTGTTTCTGCAGTTTCTTTCTTTCTTTCTTTCTTTTTTTTAAATCAGTCTCTCTCTGTCTCCCAGGCTGGAGTGCAGTGGTGCAATCTTGGCTCATTGCAACCTCTGCCTCCGGGGTTCAGGTGTTCCTCCTGCCTCTGCCTCCCAAGTGGCTGGGATTACAGGCTCCTGCCACCACGCGCAGCTAATTTTTGTTATTTTCAGTAGAGACGGGGTTTCACCATGTTGGCCAGGCTGGTCTCAAAACTTGACCTCAGGGATCCACCTACCTCGGCCTCCCAAAGTGCTGGGATTACAGGCGTGAGTCACCATGCCCCGCCTCTTCAGTTTATTTCCTTAAGGACACAAACTTTAGAGCCAGACCCTGGATTCATATTCCACAATCATAGCTCTGCTGTTTACTAGCAGTTATTTCCTTTCAGTTTTTTACATAATCTTACTTTGAGCAATTATGTAATCTCTTGGTGCCTCTGTAAAATGGAGATGATAATAGTACCCATTTCACAGTGTTGCTGTAATGATTAAATCAGTATGCATAAAGCATTTAGTATACTGCCAAGAGCATCGTATAAATGTATCTAAGTATAAACTATTATTATATTTATAAAATGAGATATTACTAATTAAATTTCACACAGGCAACATAAAAATACTTTAAAATTTTTTTTGGTGGGGAATTACCTTTTAAAAATTAAATTACTGGCTGGGCAGAGTGACTCATGCCTGTAATCCCAGCACTTTGGGAGGCTGAGGCAGGCGGATCACTTGAGGTCAGGAGGTCGAGACCAGCCTAGCCAACATGGTGAAACCCCGTCTCTACTAAAAATACAAAAATTAGTCGGGCATGGTTGTATGTGCCTGTAATCACAGCTATTTGGGAGGCTGAGGCAGGAGAATCGCTTGAACCCAGGAGGTGGAGGTTACAGTGAGCCAACATCGCGCCACTGCACTCCAGCCTGGGAGATAGAGTGCGATTTTGTCTAGAAAAATAATAACATGAAAATAAAATTAAATTACTTCATCTGGAGAAGCATTTTGGTGTGGCATTTAACTTAGAACTGTACTGTGAGGAATACCGGTGAATTATTCATTCCTTAATTCCGTATTTTTTGAGTGTTTGCCAGGCATATGCTGCATTCTAGGAAGACAGGGAATTTACACAGCAGTAGAGGAAGCGGTAACTAAGGGAACGAATAAAGCCCAGGATAATTATCCGGAATGAGCAGAAAGGCCTGGGAGGATTTGTGGTGTGCATGAAGCAGATGAGAGGCCTGGGCTGGACCGTGGTGACCGGGGAGAGGGAGCGCAGATGAGAGGCCTGGGCTGGACCGTGGTGACCGGGGAGAGGGAGCGCCAGATGAGAGGCCCTGGGCTGGACCGTGGTGACCGCGGGGGGAGGGGGGGGCAGGTGGAGGTGGGGGCTGGGGGTGAGCGGAGAGGTGAGGCGCAGATGAGAGCCTGGGCTGACCGTGCGAGTGACCGGGGAAGAAGGAGCCGCAGATGAGCAGGCCGGGCTGCGACCGGTGACCGGGGAGAGGAAACAAGGGCTGTCGGAGAGGGTGCTGGAGCCATGTTTTGCAGGGTCAGGACTCCAAGCAGCTGCGAGTATCTACGGGGAGTTTAAATTTCTTTTCAAGGAAGCTGTGACGAGAGGATTTACCCAGGGGAGTGTGCTGGTCTCATTTACATGTGCTGAAGTGTTTTCTGTCTACTGCATCGAGAGTGAATTGGAGAGGGGCGGGCCCAGCCCGGCAGCAGACGGTGCAGCACTCCAGGGCTAGGCGGAGGGCGGCAGCGAGGCGGAAGGAAGTGCACGCAGTCAAGTCAGATCACACACATTTATTTTGGCGGTAGACTTGACAGGTGGTGTTGATGGCTTGGATGAGGAAGACAATGAGGAGGCATGGACGTTACCTAGATTTTTGGCTAAGTACCATTTTGACAATATGCATATATTCGCTGTATTATTAAACTTCCTTTTCATTTTGACATGATCCTTCTCAAAACTGTAAACGTTCTAGTATATGTGCTGCCCAAGTGAACGTGAAAACCGCACATTTTTTAGGTATTTTAAAACTTTCCCAATCTAGATTTTTTTGCACTGCAGCCAAATTGTACAGTCATTTCAGATTTCTTCTTGTTTTCTTGTTTAGTAATGGGAACCGCCTTTGTTGATATTTTGGGTATTTAATTGGGAGCATTTTACCTGTTAATTATGGCTGTTGAGGATTTAAACTCACTTTATTTACCACCAGTCTTTTGAAGTTAGATTGCTGAGTATCCTGCCTGCCCGGGGAGTGTCAGAGCCTGTGAAGCTGCAGCTGTTGAGAGGCAGCTTTCCGTCCTCTGCGATTCCTGCTTCCGGCTTCTGTGGGCGAAGAAGGGGTGTGGGATGGGAGGGGCACCTGGAGCTGCTGAGCCAGCTCCACCTGAGGCTCACTGTGTAACTTCATTGTTCTTTTCAGCATGGCCTTCAGGGGTAGGAAGTCAGGCTTATGAGATGTTATCTCCTGTGGCTTAGGACTGGTATACCTCCTCAGTAAGTGGAATTTATTATTACTTTACTAAAATATGGCTTCTTCGTGTGAATGAAGTGAGATCAAGCATAGAAAGCAATCTGAAAAGATTGCTTAAATTGTTGCATGTGGAATCAATTATTTTACTGTTTTCTAAGAAATGAGGAGAAACTGGGGAAAAAAATTCATTAGACAGTAATGCATAGAGATTTTTTACACCTAAATGAGAAGCCAGAAATTCATATAAAACGTAAGAACTTCAAAAAGATTTCTTAGGCACAGAGTATTATTAAACATTCATGGATGTTTTTGATTTCCTATTACATTAAAATACTCAAATCAACTTCATATTCAGAACATTTAAAAATAGCTCAATCTTAAAAAGAAGATATAAAGTATTATCAGCTGTGCTTTTTGTGCATAATTAGCATGTTGTGCCTGTGGAGGTGTAATGACTTCTAGCCTAATGATAGTATCATGATTAAAAGTTCAGATGGTAAAACGTGGAGCTCCAGCTGGGCGACACATTTGGTAACAGTTCAGAGTTGACTCCAGCATAGGAGCTGTGCTATGTTTGTTCTTCGTAATCCCCCCTTCACCCATCAGTGAGTCGTGAAGGCTCTGATAAAAGAGCCTTTTAGAAATGCTTCCATTTGTTCCCTTTCTTACAGATTTAATGTGTGCCCAGCATTTCCTTCAGTGCTGGACAGGCTGCTGTGAAGGGACATCACCTTTTCCCTTTTTCCAAGATGGCTCAAGATTCAGTAGATCTTTCTTGTGATTATCAGTTTTGGATGCAGAAGCTTTCTGTGTGGGAGCAGGCTTCCACTTTGGGAACCCAGCAAGACACCTGTGTTCACCTGGCTCGGTTCCAGGAGTTCCTGAGGAAGATGTATGAAGCCTTGAAAGAGATGGTAAGTAGTGGACCAAAATAATGAAATTATTTTCTGACTTCAGGGACTCTGCCAGATTTCACCAAGACAGAATGCCACCCGGAGTCAGGACTTGTGGTGGTAAGTGCCAATGGATTAGGAAGACAGATTACTCAAGAGCTGGTTTCCTAGTCTCCGATTTATTATATTATTATAATTTTTCTTGAGTAGCTGTATTGTCACATGAGTCTTCCTGACCAAGCAAGTTGTTTTTAAATAATCAGGATTTCATGCTTGTTGTCAAGTAGTAAATGGGATTCTTTTAAAGGCCTTCGTGTCCCTTGAATCTTGGAGAATTTGCTACATGCTTAACCTTTCCTCAACCCTCTTCTCAAGTGGGCTGTCCTAAGAGATGATAAATATTACGATCTCTTCTTATAAATGTAATACTTTTTATAAATATTAAGATTTTGAGTATCTTTACTATTATATAATTTATTGTTTTCAAAATTTACTGTATTTTCATTTTGATGTTTTATTATGATATTTTTATGATTTAGCACATGTTTATATATTATGAGCTAGTATTTTGTATTTAATTTCAAAATGAAAAACAAAATTGTCACTTAACAAAGTGTTCTTGTATTAAGCTTTTCTTCCTGGAATCAAAGAGTAAGTAGGAAATTTGAAGAATAGTTTGTATTGATAGTATGAGTTCATACGTTTTTAGAAACTATAAGGAAAGATACAGTCTGTGTGAACAACCAATGCTAATTTAAAAAAATTTTTTTAATGAGACATATGGAACTTGACCTTTCTGTGGTCCCAGAATGTCTGGGACCAGCCTTGACGCTGGGACACGTGTGGGACGTGTTGCCGCAGGAGCGGAAAGTGCCTGTCGTGTCAGCTTGCTTGCATCTTATCCTATCCTAGTTTGCTTTTATTTCTGAGCTTTTATGAAAGGTAACAAGTGGAAAAAGGTCCAGTTGTACAATAGCGTGTGTGTGTGTTTTTAAATCTATTTGGTTGATCCTTTTTCTGTTTCAGGGTTTAGATTGTTACAGCCTAAGTATGATGTCTTTTGCCATACAGTTATCAAAATAGTAATAAACAGAGATATAGACATTTATGCTTTGGCTGCTTTTATTTCTTTTTACAAGTTCCAGATTCTCGTCCCTTTAAACCTTCTTCTTTGAAATAGTCTTACTGGAGCTGAGTTCGTAACCTCTCTTATGTTAGAATGAAAAACCGGGATAAAGATATGGGATTATATGTCACCAATAATTTGTTTTCAATTCTTAAGCAGTCTTTGTTATTTTTAAATAAAGAAGCCTTTATTGGCTATTAAGTATGAGTAGAATTAATTTTGCAACACAATTGATTTTACCTATGTCATACATCTTAGTTTGGTGACCTCGTTTAAGGATGCAGTAAAGTGGTTGGTTGCTTTTTAAACTTTATTTGAATTACTTACCTAAAGATCTTCTCTAATCCTTTTTTGCTTACTTTTAAAAATGGTATACTAAACAAGAAGCATTCAAGCTCCCTCAACCTGTAATGTCAGTTCCGTCTTTCTGAGTTGCATAATGCCTTTACTGACCAAAATTTATTTTTCTTTCACAGGATTCTAATACAATTTTTGAAAGATTCCCCACAATTGATCAACTGTTGGCAAAAGCTTGTTGGAATCCTTTTATTTTAGCATACGGTAAGAATCCAAAACGTGTCCTCTCAAAATATAATCTTTGCATTGTTTCACAGAGGCTTACATTATGAACCTTTCTCCTATTTTTTTTTTATGAAACAACTTATCAAATGTATTCATTGTTTCATTACAAAGATGGCTTCCTACACTGTTGTCCAGGTATGTGTGTGTAGGTTTGTATGGATACACACACACACACACACACACACACGCATGCACGCACCCATGTAGATCTTCAGGAAAATAGAGCTCTTTGTATTAGAGGACAGCAACTCCTAGATGATTTAAATATCCGTTTTTGCCTGTAATCACTTTCATAACTTCATTTTAAATTCAATATAAAATAGCTATACTAATGATACCGAGTTAATTTTGTTTCACGGTTTCATAACTCACAGGCTGTTTCCGTGTTGTAAAGTCATTCTTGAGAGTGTGAATCCTGCCGTGACTTTGCCTTTGACGTTGGCCTCTGTGACTTTATTTAAGGGTGCCATTTTGGTTTTATCCAAGGTGGAGATGAATGTGGGGGCACTTTGGGGAGGTATTCCTTCATTGAGCTCCTGTCTGCTGTCCATCTCATTTTCTGTTTCATCTTCCACAGCTATACCTCATGGTGGTAGCCGGGTCCTGTTACTAACAGTGCCTGAAGGCACTTTGTGGCAGGATTCCTTTCACACTCATTCTCCTTTGAAATAGCCTTACTGTGCTGAGGTAGGAGCTGCTGGGAGTGTCCGTGGCCTCCAGCGTCTCCCTGTGATCCACTTACTTCACTGTCTGAGGTAGGAGCTGCTGGGAGTGTCCATGGCCTCCAGCGTCTCCCTGTGATCCACTTACTTCACTGTCCGATGTAGGAGCTGCCTGGAGTGCCATGCCTCCAGCAATCTCCCTGTGATTGCACTTACTTCCACTGTCTGGAGGTACGGAAGCTGCTGGGAAGTGGTCCATGGCCTCCAGCGTCTCCCTGTGATCCACTTACTTCACTGTCTGATGCCCTGGAAGACAGCACGACTCTCAAGAGCAGGAACCATGGTTTTAGTTCTTTGTCATCCTAGGGCCTCCCAAGGAGCATGGCTGAGGTTTGCTTTAGATTGACTGTATTATTAGCTAATGTAATATTTACTTTTAAGATTTTTTAAAGTCAAAGACTAATTGCATAATGTAATGACATTAGAACCCAAAATAAAATGAATATTCCCCTTTGATGTTGTAAAGAATCCTATAGTTTCCCATTTCTAGGCTGTCGTAGTCATTATTGGAAGAGATGTGAACTAGGCGGGAAAGGAACAACATGCGTGTTTAGCCCTGTGAGCAGGCGTGCATGGACGCCCACACACTCAGCCTCCCTCATTCTGCCCCACCCTCGTATGTCCATCCTCCTTGCCACTTACACCTCTTTCCCCAACCCCTAAACTTCTTCAAGTTCTTGATTCAAAATGGCAGAACTAGTGAGGCAGCAGTGTGTTTGCCCATCAGGGCCACGCTTACCTGTCCTTGGTTTATCTATTGCAGTTAGGTGTTTCTCAAACATCTTTGACCAGAAATACATTATGTATATGTGTACATGTGTGTATGCATATGGATATGGACACACACGCACACACACAGTGAAACACGTCTCATGAAAGAATACATACAATAGCACCCCCCTTTGACTTTCTGCAGTTTCAGTTACAGTATACTACAATAAGATATTTTGAGAGAAATGGAGAGATCACATTTACGTAACTTTTTTTTTTTTTTTTGAGAGACAGAGTTTAGCTCTTGTCACCCAGGCTGGAGTGCAGTGGCGCCATCTCAGCTCACTGCAACCTCTGCCTCCTGGGTTCAAGCAATTCTCCTGCCTCAGCCTCCCAAGTAGCTGGGATTACAGGCGCCTGCCACCACACCCAGCTGATTTTTGCATTTTTAACAGAGATGGGGTTTCACCATGTTGGCCAGGCTCGTCTTGAACTCCTGACCTCAGACGATTCGCCTGCCTCGGCCTCCCAAAGTGTCGGGATTACAGGTGTGAGCCACCGCGCCTGGCCTAAGGGTTTAACAAGGACAATAATATGATAAATCAACTGTAACAATACAGTGTAGGACATAACTTTTATTACACTATGTAGTTTCAGTTGATTTATTATATTGTTGTCCTTGTTAATCCCTTACTGTGCCTAGTTTATAAGTTAAACTTTATCATAGGTATGTGTGTGGGAAATAAAACACTGTATTTAAGGTTTGGTACTGTTCTCCGTTTCAGACATCCCCTGAGGGTCTTGGAACATTTCCCCCATTGATAAAGGGGGACTACTGTATTATTATTCTGTACAGTCCATATTCACTATGCTGTTCATGGTGAGTGGTGTTCATGACTCGATACTGATTTCATAACCCTTGATGCTTCTTGACCAAAAGTTTGAAGAACATTGATCTAGGCCAATATTGATGGCAGGAAAAAGAAAAAGAAATTGTTGAATGACCTTCATTTAAAAGCAGTACCCATTGTTAGGGGCTTCATGGATTTATTAACTGCTTTTTAGAAGGAAAGAAATTCTACGTCCTTTTGACGTACATGGTGGATGTAATACGTCCTCAAGTCAGAAATGTGAGAAACATGGGGAGGTTTATGATGTAGTGTGAGAGGCATTGCTCACTTTGAGCTGGGCACTGTTCTCTGTGGACTACATAATGGACCTAATTAATTCTTGATGACAGTGTTGCAGGGTAGATAATTATGGATTAGAGTCAGTGAGTCGCTTTCCCTAGAATACAACACTAAGAAGAGCCAGAACTCCACTCCTCATGTGACTTTAAAGTCCACCTTGCTGTAATGTTCTGTCCCTGTTGGATCACATCTTGTGATTGAAGTGTTCCAGTCTTGGCATTCCCACTAGCTAGCTTCACTTGCACATACATATTCATTCAGCACGTATTTACCAATTATTATTATTACTATTTTTTTGGAGACGAAGTCTTGCTCTGTTGCCCAGGCTGGAGTGCAGTGCCGTGATCTTGTCTCACTGCAACCTCCGCCTCCCAGGTTCACGCCATTCTCCTGCCTCAGCCTCCCAAGTAGCTGGGACTACAGGCGCCCGCCATCTCGCCCGGCTAATTTTTTGTATTTTTAGTAGAGACGGGGTTTCACTATGTTAGCCAGGATGATCTCGATCTCCTGACCTCATGATCCGCCCACCTCTGCCTCCCAAAGTGCTGGGATTACACCACACCCAGCCTATAAAGTGTTTTTGTGTGTGTGTGCCAGCCCTTAGGAAAATGTGGCTCACCGTCTCTGCCCATTGGGAGCTTCCAGTCAGGGAAAAAGAGATACTTAAGTAGGTCAGCCTGACTCAGTGTAATGGTTCTCTGATGGGAGTAGCAGTTGCTGAGAGGAAAGGAGGGTTTCTCAGGAGAGACCCTGCTGGGGCAGACTTGCAGATGTGATTCTCTAAGACAGGGCAACTGAACTTGTGGGGTCTCATATTTCTTCTTTGTAAAAGTAGGAGTTCAGACTGATTTATCCTGGTGTCCTTGAACTCGTATTTATGATCTTTCCTTAGCACCTTATCTGCATTACCTTGGCCCCTCCGACAACCAGAAACAAATTCTCCGTCCCTTTCTGTCTCAATGCTTGTGTTACCTTTTGAACTGCTCTTAAATTTCAGTTTCCTATTGAGGTGTGCCCTGGCTCTGAGCTCACAAAGGTGGCTGAACAGCACGAAACCCCGTGAGCAGTCAGATGTTGCATGTGTTGCACCTATTGTTTCACTGGTTGCCTGGAAGGGATCTTTTCTTATGGTTTTATATAATATCAAAATTGCTTTTCTTTTTTGTTTTTTGAGATGGAGTCTTGCTCTGTTGCCCAGGCTGGAGTGCAGGGCGTGATCTTGTCTCACTGCAACCTCCGCCTCCCAGGTTCACGCCATTCTCCTGCCTCAGCCTCCCAAGTAGCTGGGACTACAGGCGCCCGCCATCTCGCCCGGCTAATTTTTTTGTGTGTGTGCTTTTAGTAGAGATGGGGTTTCACTGTGTTGGCCAGGATAGTCTCAATCTCCTGACCTTGTGATCCGCCCGCCTTGGCCTCCCAAAGTGCTGGGATTACAGGCGTGAGTCACCATGCCCAGCCCAAAATTGCTTTCTAATTACAGTAAAAGCAAACTGTTTTCATCATGGAAAAAAGTAAGTAATACGTAGTGTTCATGGAGAACAGGATCAGAAAAGGGTAATGAGGAAGGAGGGAAGATTTGGAAATGAAAAGATACTGAAAAGAGAAGAGAAGAAATTGATAATAATGGAAAGTTAGAGAATACCTTTTTATTCGGGGATGTCCTCAGTGTAAAAATACTGCCTTCACCTTCTGAAATTCTGGTCCATTGCTTCTAACTCTGCCCTCGTGATTAAGCATGACAGCTGTTACCTCTCCACTATTCGCTCTCTATTTCTGTATAACAAATTTCCGCCAAACTTAGCGCTTAAAACAGTGAATATTTATTGTCTTAAACATTTGATGCCTTCATACTTTATAGAATTAAAGTTTAAAGAATTGCATTAGCTTTTATGTGGAATTTCAATTCTAGATATCAAAAAGTAAAATATAAGGTGGCAAGTGTATGTTGTTATCTTCCTTTCCTTTCCACTCATTTGTAGAATCCAAATTTACACTAAGATGGACTGTCAGCGACTGTCCCTGCAGTGAATCCCAGGCAGTTTCCCATCTCACTTAACATGCCTTGTGGGATGCTCCAGCCTGAGTTCAAGGCCTCCAGGGTAGAGTCTGACCGAGTGAGTGCTGGTGGCACTCGTGAATAGCAGTCTGTGGCTCATGTTCGTAAATTGCCTAAGCAAAGCAAGCCGTAAGCTCATTAGCAGTGCATTTCAGTGCGTTGACTCTGGGCACGGAAAGTCACCCCCTAGAGGTTGGGTGGAAGTTTCTCTGGCTCCTTCTCTTTTTTTATTTTTTGGGAGAAAAATAAAAAATAATAAACTGTTTGAAGTAAGTTTGTGTAATCACTCCACACCTAGGGAAACTCCCAGCTTTGGGTGTTCTTTTAGATTTAAGCTTCATAAACTGACATTTCCTTTCTTTTTTTCCTTTTTTTTTTTTTTTTTTCGGTGGTGAGTGTCTGGTGTTTGGAAATGATCCCCATCAGATTACATTCTTTTTAACAGCTTGCTGCATGTGTAAGGATGTCATTGGGTGCATCTGTCACACTTGCTACATGAAGCTAGGTAGAATTTCTTCTAATATTTAAACTATGGGAAGCATAACAGTCACATTTTTAATTAGTGGCGTTGGTTCAGCCTGAAGAATCTTAGGATCTTTAGTGGTTAAATTATACGACTCTTGAAATGAATTGATCTCAGGCAAGCCAGTGCTTTATAATACTTTATTTGAACTCATAAAAACTAGGGGAAAAAAATGAATGGCCTCAGAATAACCCCTGATAAAGTTTTTTCAGAGATGTTAGTTATTGGAAAAGCTTAAGCTATGTATGTTCACGGGAAAAAATGGGTTTAAAAATTACTGTTAGCAATCTTTAATTTGTGGATAAAAATACAGAAGTCGCTTACTAGAGTTGGTATTGTTCTTATTTCTTTGTTAATGGAGTCCTTAGAAATGCTGGGTTTTGGCCAGGCACGGTGGCTCATGCCTGTAATCCCAGCACTTTGGGAGGCCATGGCAGGAGGATCAGTTGAACTCAGGAGTTGGAGACCAGCCTGGGCAACATGGTGAGATCCCTTCTCTACAAAAAATACAAAAATTAGCCAGGTGTGTGGCACGCACCTGTGGTCCCAGCTACTCAGGAGGCTGAGGTGGGAGAATGGCTTGAGGCCGGGAAGTGGATGTTTCACTGAGCTGAGATCATGCCACTGCACTCCAGCCTGGGTGACAGAGCGAGACCGTGTCTCAGAAAAAAGAGAAAGCTTGGGTTTATCAGATTGCAGAAGATGAGGCGGTAGAGAGGACTGATTCTGGGCACCGGGTGTCTTGGCCTCACCTCCATGGCCTTGTAAAGTCTGAAGTTGCTTTGCCCTAGCTCGGGTACTGACATCTTCAGTTTCTAGGCCTCGTTTTTGTTTCTTAATTGTGTTATACAATCTTCACTGGAATAGACTCAGTCACCACAAGAGGAAAAAGAAAGTGGTTCATCAAGTGGATGTTTCTGCAGAATGTAAGATTTCAAAGTTCAGATTTGTATTGCATGTTTGGTAAAGTTTTGTGTTTCAAAGAATTTACATTTTAGAGTAAAGGAGCATGTAAGAGACTTCTATTTTATCCAAACACTTCGTACTAAAAATATTTTTTAAAGCAATCCTTTTTATTAAATTTATTTTTAACAAGTGAAGATATTTTGGCAAATTAGAAAATTAAAAGATTAAATCAGAAATATTGGCTACTCACTGCCTGTAACCATTAAGTTGCCTTAGAAAGGTCGAAATTACTAACCGCTGGAAATGTGAAAACCTGATCATGAGGAAAGCCCAGTTCTCCAAGTTCTTTCCGTGTTTCTCATTTGGCTTTAAAAATTGCTACTGTTACAGAAAGGAAATTGACCACACAAGAGTTAAGTGATCCCAAGGCCACAAGAAGGAAAACACTCCACAAAGTTACGCTTAGGGAATTCTGAAGGACAGCTAGGAGAGCGAAGATAGAGTGAGGGAAAATATTCCTGTCAGCAGAAAGAGAGTGTGCGAAGTGTGGTGGTGAGAAAGCAAACATTACGTTCGGGGATACTTGTGCTGTGAACGTAGTAGTTTGAGATTTTCCTAAATATAATGTTTAAAATATTTTTATATTGATTATTTTTTCTGCTTAATAAAACTTACTCATTAAGTTTTCCTTTTTGTAGATGAAAGCCAAAAAATTCTAATATGGTGCTTATGTTGTCTAATTAACAAAGAACCACAGAATTCTAGACAATCAAAACTTAACTCCTGGGTACAGGTAAGAGAGTAAATCTTGCTCTGCACTTCTTTGAATTAAATTGATTATTTAAAAGTGCTGCTTAAAAAATTGTTGGGGGGGATCCAGTTCTGTGATGTTTTAGAAACTTTTTCAAACATACCCTTCACTGTTACCTTATCTTGCTGGGTAAAAAGTTTTTCAAGAGATTTCAATTTTGCTCGACTGTGAATTCCAAAAGATATAATTCTTCAGGGTGAAGACCTAATGTTGAGTGGTTTTGAAAAACTTCTTTCAGGTGATTAATGTATTCCGTTTCACTCTAACAACTGCTAGCCTTCAAAAAATTGTTTTTGCCTACCAACCTGGTTTAGATTCCTTTCCACCTGCTTCCCTGCCTCTCTCAAAATCTGTTTTGTAGTAACATGAAAACTCAGCAGTGCGGCGGGAGCAGCACTCTTCATTTTGTGTCCCGAAGTTGGTGCCTGGGCCGGCATGCGCACAGACTAGATCTTGGTGCTGCGTGGCCTCTGTTGCTCACACTTTGCAACTGGCTACCTACTGTGCTCGTCCAGATAGCTGACAGCTTCCTAGATTTCCCTGTCTGCTTCTGCTTTCTCCCGAAGGACAGGCGTCAGGTGGAGCTGTGGTGAGGCTGGGCTGCAGCTGCCGTCATCAGCAGCGCATTGGCTGTTCTTTTCTGTTCCCCGCACTGCCTTCTGCAGCAACCCCAGGACTTGCTGGTGCCGGTCAGACTCCACTTAGTGTGCATGTGGTTCAGATTAGCTGCTTAGCATTATGAAATCGTCCAAACAGATGAGTGCATATGGTTTTGTCTGTCAGTCTGACTGGTGAGATCGTTACATTCGCTGCTTTTTATGATTTCTTTGTTTTAGACAAAACTGCTAACAGAGATGATGAAGACTGTATTTATATTTTTCTGTTTGAAAGAATAGAAGGGAGTCAGAGGGATTGGGCAATGGAAGGAAAGAATACAAACTTTAATTGGAAGGAAAATTAATGTAAGGAACTGAAGAAAGGAA